AACTGAAATGTCTTTTCCTCCAACGACAAAATAACTAAGTGCTTTAGGGAAAGCTTGTCTTTCAAACTCGAAGGTGACTTAGAGTAATCTTCGATTGAGTGCCGTAATTAAAATCACAACTAGCTGAAAACCGGGAATCACAACGGAAGGACCAAATCGTAATGATTTTAGTTTTCATCTGTTGGTTGAGAGAGTGGCGCAAGGTTTCTGGACCAATCACAGTGCGAAAGCAAACCTTGAACAACTACGGATTACTTTCGACACTCAATAGAAAATTGTTCGAGAAAGGGACTTCAATAAATCGCCTGAAAAATGTCAATTTTTTCCAAGGTTGTAGCTAAGAAAAGCAGCAAAGCATTCAAAGCTTTTAATTTAAAGCTATTTTTAATTAAGGTAATAGCAGTTGCAGTAATTACTCCAGATGAATCCGTATGCGCAAATGTTCATTTGTGTGTTTCTTATCAATGTCAGACTGCTGAGTAATCACCATCCTGAGAAGTCAAAAGTGTAATAAGCCGATGTTCGCACACACCTTGACTAAGCTAAAAATTTATCATTCATTTATACACACAGCGTTACCCAAGAGGAAAAATAACACAACAGACATTGACAGAAGAAAAACTCACTTTTTCCACAATGCCCTAAGTGAAATTAGAATAAACAACTCCTTGGGATGGTTACTTAAATTAATGTTCTTCACCTTGATAGGTGAGCTCTCATTAGCACCGTCATTGCAGCGTTGTCTTTCCAAGTACTCTGTCTGTGTTCGGCGTGAAAAACCTTCCAGTACATGTGCCAAACTTTCTGAGGATTTACTAAATAATCTGCGTGTTACATCATTCTAAGTTGATGTTCCAGTCTTGAAGGCCAAGTGGACTTCAATAGGGGTAAGCTGTTCGCATAACTCCAAAACACCAGCAATGCAGTGGATTGGAGCATTCACCCACACACTCAGCCATGTGAAACAACTCTTATTATAAAGTTGGGTCACCATCTTGTCAATGATGAGGATGTCTGTGGTTGCATTAAATCCGGTCTTCGCCCCCCTCCGTTCCCCTTTTGTCACGTCATTTGCGTTAAGGTGGATGTCACGTGGGATCTGCATGCACGATGTGAACCATTCATAGATGTTGTGAAGACTAATGATAGGTCTTTAGTTCTCACTCGAGAAGTCTCCTGGTTTGGGTATGAAGTCTCCTGGTTTCTAAGTATTATTATCATCACCATCGTCACCATCGTCACCATCGTCACCATCGTCACCATCGTCACCATCGTCACCATCGTCACCATCGTCACCATCGTCACCATCGTCACCATCGTCACCATCGTCACCATCGTCACCATCGTTATCATCGTTATTATCGTTCAGTGAGAATCAAAGCGTGAGAGCCTAAAAGGTATAAACGCACCACAACAGTCAAATCTATATGAATCCTCTTTAGGAGCGAGGGAAGTATAGAAAAAGACAGAAAAGGGGTAAATACTTGCTTTTACAGGCTAAATTATCTTGAATATAAACGCGGTATGTCATGCAACTAATATAATAAGATGGAGAAGATATATAAACCGGAACTAAAATCTGGCTAGAATGTCGTATAGCATTACGTGATCATCGAAACAGCTAATAAAATCATAAATAAACAAGAGTATTATGCTAGATTTTTTTAAAAATTGTAATGATTTATGCTCGTAAACGGTGGCGACAAGTAGGCATACCATGTATATTTCGTAGTCGCTAGCAATTTTGCCGGACTTTGAGTTCGTCTCAAGACAGAACAACACAAATTCACAAGGAAATTTTTACAGTAACTTTATAGCCATCTTTTTGTCTTTTAAAAAGCTTTCTGCTACTTTTCGACAAAGCAAGAGGATCTCGGAGAAAAATATTTACCAAAAAAAATTAATATTTCTTTACCAGCTTCAATAATGACAGACGATTAAGTTTAGATGATAAAACAAAGTATTGTGTGGACAGAAATCCTGGAGGTCAGGTAAATTCGTTACATGAGGTCACAGAAATCGGGTAATATTCACGGTGAAAAGTTGCATTTTTCAGCGGTCGAACGAAAAGAATCATTTCTCGAAAACTGAAATATATTTTCACAAAAAATTACACTATAACCATTAGGACACATTGGGCTACAAAATATGAAAGTAGGAGTAACAGCAAATTTAGGGTGACTTGCCGCTGTTTGTCCCATGCATGTTGTCATTAACTCTTAAAATCTCACTTAGACGATTTTTCACTTCTCACTTCCCATTTTTTTCGCATTATAATATAGATAAAATGACGAAAATTAATTTTGGATGGCATTACGAGTACTATAAATGTAAGAAAATAATATTTCAAGACTGAAATGCAACGCCATTTTATTTCCCTCTTTTCATAGTTGCACACTGGATTTTTCTGATTATTAGTTCGATTTAATCCTTTTAATCAAGATATTTACAGGCACAATCACTTCTGTCCATATCTTCTACATTCACATTTGTGAGCAAAAATCTGTAGAAGAATCCGCTCACTGGGGTGCATTCCTGTGATCCCGTGCAAGCAACAAAGGGACAGTTGCACCAGTTTCTAAAATCATCTTTGGTATGGAAGTTGTCACAGTTTTTCCACTCGCCTCTGTACTTGACTCTGTCATATCTCTTTGGTAAAGTTTCTGTATCTACAAGAAACCTTAGGGCTGCCCTGGTAGAGGGTATTGCAAAATAACATAGTTTTATCACGTGATTTAACAATGTAAATTGGCCACTGTAAAGAGCTTCCAAAGTTGACTTTTCTAGTGTCAGAGCGGAGAAAATAGGAGCACATCTTTTCGTTTTAATAATTCTAAGGGTTAAAGGCCAGATTTAAACTGGTTAACAGAATTAAGTAAGTCAAATTCAAATCAGAGGTTTTAGAATATTTTACCTTGTATCTTGCTTTTGTCTTTTTTGAAGTGTTTGGCAGGAGCCAAAAGAAATGCCAAAGACAAAAGCAAAACAACACTTGTGAGTTTGAAACTCATGTTAGAGATAGAACACACTAGAGACTAAATGAAGAGCAAACAAGAAACTAAAATAAATCACCAAGAGCAAGAAATTGTTACTTAATAAAAAAGTTTAAAATGACAAAATAAGTAAGAAAATACTAGGACGGTTGTCCCATTGAGCTACTCTCTGCAAGGCGAGTGTATCACCGTTCTTTTAACTCATAGTTCACATTACACAAAAGGCTATTGTAGAAGATCACCTTGCATGATGCAATAGAAAAAACGTCAAACTTTCACTTCTAAAAAGCGTGGGCTTCATGATAAAATCCATAGACAAAGATAACCAACACCACACCGCAGAATAAAACAAAAGAAAAGAAGCTGTTATACGGTCAAATAGTAGAGACATTTGTTAAAGAAAAATGTAATGCAATTTTTGTTGTATAATTATATACCATACAAATCGTAAATTTTATGTGATTTCTCTTCTTCTGAAAGGATCCCTCGTAATTATGAGCTTTGAGTGAGAAAAAAGAAGTTCAAGAATGTACAAAAAAGGTTTCAAGTACGACAGGACTGTACCTCAAAACTTATTAATCAACGGAGCTTTTGGTTCCGATTGCATTGGAGAATTAATACGTCTTTGCGCTGCTCAATAGACAAAGCGTTTCACGGAACAAAGCAACCAAACTTCGACCAAGCTGCAAACTGAAAAAAAAAAGTTGAAAAAGTTAGGTGAGCTTGGTGGTATATTGAAGGTACAATCTGACAAAAAATCTAGTTTAGATATATTCATCACTTGAATAAGTGGTGTATTTTCAAAGGCGACTGGCTTTGTGCATTGTTTGATTTTCTTTTGTTTCTTTTCTTAATGTACTTATTTTTAGCCCTTCCTAAAGCGCCTTTGTTGCCTTTAAGAAAAACAAGAAAATAACCGGAAATTGTTTGTAAAAAGGAAGAAGCTCGTTTTAAAACTTCCGACTGGCAAACCAGAGACTGATTTGTTTCTCTATTTTATAGCCGCGTCTTAAAAGAAAGGTCAAGATTTTCCCATCTAGACCGAGAGGAAAGGAAATGGCCGATCCTTGTCCATAATACCAAATGGAAGAGAAAAAGGGAAAGCATTAGCAAATTCAAGTTCAGTTACGAGCAAAGGCAATGTCCAAATTGAAATATTTCTGCAAGCGGAGAAATCCAAAAACACTAAATGTAAGAACGGGAGTGACTGAAAAGCATAGAAGTAGTTTTATCACCCACTAAAAAAAATGAGGTTCATTGAAAATATACCTGCCTATGAGCTGGAGCCCCCTTTGTTCCAGTGTTTTCTCAATTATCATTACTTTATCTCCGTTCGTTAACAAATGGTATCAAGTACAAGCCGTGTACAGTTTTTTAAGCTGCTTGCATGAAAGCCCGAGAGAAAGGATGCTCTTCCACTACAACGCATCTAAATGTCCTCAAGTTATGTTACAGCGTGAACGGTGACACACTTGAAGACTGTGCATACAAGATCAACGTTTTTTGCTGTGATTAGTAGAAGCTCGCAATGCTTTTTTTTTTAAATCAAGCGTGTACAAGAATGCGGCAATTCTTTACTTATTAACCAAGTTTGTCTAAGCCTAGCCTTTGAACAGTTATTTTAGTCCTATTTGAACTGGAGTCAAATGACAGAATCAACGGAAAGGAAGAGCGAAGTAGAAATTTAATTGGGTATGGTATGGATGCCAGGGAAGGTTCAAACCACCGGATTTAAATGGTGTCGTGATCGAGCCAGTCAGAGGATTGTAACATAAAACTATAACTACATTCGAAACGGTAGGGTACGAAGTTTACGAACAAAATGCTTGGAAACATTGTGCCGGCAAAGAAAAAAGTTCGTAATATTGACTGCTTAATACCGGGCGACTGAGTTATTTCCAGCGTTAACTCTTTCATCGTAACTCGTAACTCGTCAGTTAAGAAATCGTTTGGAGTTGTAACACCATTCAAAATTTGTAGTAAATGTCAGCAAAGGATCGGAAAAGGTTCATGCAAAATCTTTTTTAATTGTCATACATTGAATGCATCTGCTAACGCTGTTACTGTAGATAAACTTGTTCTCTTTTCTCGTCTTGAACAACTACTTAAAGAAAGTCAGTCTTTACGAAAAAAGTGTTAAATCGTCATAAGGATACACAAAGCAAGTTTCTTTCAAAACAATGAGATTTCTCCAATTATGGGTGGCTGATACATCTTGAAATATAGTTTTTTGAGAATTAATTTATGAGTACGTCGATAAATCCTGTATAATCTTTCTATATAGTCACTGTCGATGACGATGATCAAGATGATAGTATTCATGATAACGATGTTAATAGTGATGATGATAATGATGATGACGTGATGATCAGTTAAAAATGTACTTTCTGCATTTAGATACGACCCTGTACCTCTGCTTCTGTAGACGCGTGAACAGTGGGTAAAAACAAGTTTGGTGAAAGGGATTTTTAGGTGGAGACTCGAATGCAAGAGCGGATTTTCACCATCATTAACATATTCCCATAAGGATAGAAAAAATATATATGAATGGTCTAAATAACAGACAAAATCCTCCGTTTCTTGGCAGCAACTGAGTTAGATGTTCAACTCTGATTTGCAGCTAAGGAATATTACAATGACCTGTTACATTACAGAAGACAAGCAAGGAATTCCCCTTCTGAGTCTTTGATTTGAGCATCTTTGATTACTTCAATCGTAAGTGCTGATCGTGACTAGCATAATTACATTCAATCGAAATCATTCTTCGCTCTCTGAAACGAAAAATGGAAATTTAGTTCAAGCAAAACTGGTTTACAAAATAGGCACTGTACCAATCCCAACACTTGTGCTCATAGTAACAATGTTGAGAAATTGGTGGTTTAATTCGGAGAACCTTTCGCTCATATGTTTAAGGACTTTGTTAATGGGGCTCATATTGAGGTGGTCATAAGCTAAAAGTATATCCAGGAAAAACACAAGTTTACAGAAGAATTGATATACTTATTTTTCTCATTTAGCACCAGTTCGATTATTTTGAGGCTGATGGTAAAAACTTCCAGCTTTTAAGTGGATTGGTAGCTCGCGAGTTGATCTGCGTCTAATAAAGTTCATAATTTCATCTTCTGAAGAATTTTTTGACTCACTGCTCCTGTTACATTCAATGTTGTCTTGTAAAGTGGTTGTTGCAGGGGAAGACTCTTCGATCCGATATAGTGTTGATGAAGTTCCTTCACATGAAATTTCACGATTATTTCTAAGAGACAATTGGCTGATCACATAGAGCAATTTTACATCTAGTCGTTCATCTTCCCTTGCGAGATCACCGGCCAACACACCGATCCTTTCAAACAACTGTACTAATGAAGAATCCAAATCGAGCTCAGTTGAAGAAACTTTTTCGGGTGTTTCGGGCGTTCTTTTTAAAGATTTTGGATTAATCGATTCCCCCAACTCCAACTTGGTTGCCGAATGCTGTGATGGGGATTTTGTAATGGGTGTCTGATTTGCCGAGTTTTCGTTAGATTTTGAGCCGCCGTCCTCGGACGTTTGTTTAAGAGGGAAATCGAAGTTGTCCAGGGAATTGGTTGAAGCTATGTCATCCTCTCTCACTAAGTCATTATGACCCGCATCTTTCCCTCGCTGGTTAATTCTTAACATCTCACACACTCTCTCGAGTATAAAATCAGTCATCTCAAATTCTTTGGATTGTTTATCAGTTTTGCTTTTGACGTCTTCGAAAGAATTGTTCAAAATTGCCACGAAAAAGTTCATAAAAATGAAAGACATCAGGGCAAGAAAGGAAATACCGTATAAAGGACCCAAAAAGCGATGAACTCCTGTTAACTCATGAAATCTCATTTGGCCGCCAAGGCACACGATGACTTCTGAAAACAATGCATTGTAGACTGATGAGTAACCATGAATGTGGTTGCCGAACGCCAGCTTCCCCATCTGAGCGTATGAGACGAAAATAATGATAAAAATCACAGAATAGGACAACAATAAACTCTTAGAAACGCGAAAAGAGGACATCATTATGGAGACCTGCTGATTAAAGCGAATTACGTGTAGAAGTTTCAAGGTTGTGAAGAAAGCTGCAATGGCTAAAGCAGTGGTTTCTGCATGGCTCCAGGTAACAGCTTCTCCAAAACTTACGGTGGCGAATGGGTTTTCCTTCACAATAGCAGCGAGTTTAAGTATCAGCTTGGACTTTATTATGTAGAATACCACGACCAGTACCGACAAAAATATTCGTAGAATTTCCACCCAGTTCCACACATCTCTTAAATAGGTCCACGTGGCTCGATATAGCTTGTACATCTCGATAATGAAAAATACGAATGCCATCATGATAAATAAGAACTGACAAATCAGGTAAAACTCGTAAAAGCCTGTTTCAGTACTTGTCAGCAGAAGAGTGTCTATCTTTGGAAAAGGATAGCCATACCCTGTCGGCAATATTTCAAAATGGTACGCTGAAATGATAAGGTAGCCCGTGTTAGGGTTATAGATAGTGAACTCAAGTAGGACGACGCGGGTCTGCCGGTCGATCCAACCGTATTCTATCAAGTCGGAGATGACTGCCTGAGCTGTACTGCTATTGTAGCCTAGATCTGCAACATAGCCACCTCCGTCATAGAAATTGAAGTAACCCCAGCTCGGTGAGCTGCGGAGTTCCTCGTTTGGCACATATTGCCATGGCAGTGGGCATAGCTCGGAAAAATTTGCCCATTCTACAGAACCACTGAAGGGCCTCCAGCCTGGAAGGTTTGCAGGAGTTTTATCCTCTTCATCGAAATCATAGAGGTCGTAGCAGCCCCTGTTTATGATGCCTCGCACTATCCTTGGAACAATGCAAGAATCTGACGAAAAAAAACATGCAAGCTAATGTCTAAAAATATTCCTCACAACTTTAATTGCTTTGTGTACTATTCTTTCTTGTTGCTGGGGCGAAGATTTCATTGTCATAATCAGAGGAATCTACCCTTCCTTTATTCTTTTATTTCTTTTCGTATCCAATGTTTTCCTTTATTCCCACTCTTTCTTTTCTTCTCTATCATTAATTTTAGGTTCTAACATTTGCTATATATGCACTAAAAACAGGACAGTATTGTGAAGTTTATTATAGAAAATCACCACAATTTTCTTGCTCCTAGTTTCACCGCCGACGAGGATTTTCACCAATTTTACATTTATAAGATTGAACATACCTAAGTAATGTTATACTTACCTTTCTGTATCCTTAGTTGTCGCAAGCGAGGCATTCCTAAGAGAAGAGAAATCTTGTTGCCAATGTACTCTTGCTTTTTGATTTTGTTGTTGTTGTACCAGTTGCTGCCGTAGACATCGTCCACAAACTGATTATCAAGCCATTCCCAGAAATACCGTGGATCGTGAGCCTAGGCAAGAAAAAACGTTCTAAAATGTGCAGTGACAACGAATCAAAAGGGACACATACTGGGGTCTCTTAGAGGAGGAAGAGTAACATGCTGTGTCATTATAACGCGATAAATTTAAAATTGAATGTGAGTGGTTACAAGTGTTTAAGAGCAGCTAAGTAACAGCCACCTCCGAAATAAACTTCGACTTTCGTATAGGGGATTTTCAGTAGTAAAATCTTGCTTTAAAATGAAATATAACAGTATTATATCGAGTATAGTTATATCTAAATGTGCTTGGTGGAACTCTCGGAGTAATGACAAAAATCCAAAAACGTCCCATATCGTCATCTACACTAAGTAAACCCAGGCCCTGGCCGAGGAATACGATTGATCTCATCACTGCCTCATTTCCGTCTCCCTATGACTCTCAAATAGGGACGCTTAAATTTAACAGAATCAGTCAGTTACCCTAAGATTTAGAGCTACTTACCAAAGAAAAGTCTAGAAGGGTATCTTTTAGATCCATAGTCATGAGATATCCATGATAACTTCTGCTTCCGTAACACACAATTATAAACAAAAAGAGAAACAGAAGATATCCCAGAAGCTCTCTCAAAAAGGAAAACATCTTTGCCTCCTTTGTCCTGTACTCTCTTGCAAGTATAAGGTCACCCTCTTTTGGCATCTCTACTTCAACACTCTGATTTTCGCTGACAGATTTTATTTCTGATTGCAGTTTCCCTTCACTATTGTGGCTGACAGTTTCAGTTTCATTATTATTGCGAAACAAAGAAGCAGTTAACACCATAATAATCAATATCTTCATAGGCTGGAGGACAAATAGGTCTTGGGCGAAAGATACAAACATCGAGGAAAGCCACTGGTTCGAAATATCCTTTCCCCACTGCAAACTAAAGAGGAACGTAAAGACGGCACACACAGAAACAGTAACAAGGACCAAAAACCAAGCAACGTGGATAAAGAAGTGAGGGAGCATAAATTTCTTCTTGGCATCAGCCTGACTTTGGGGTTTTTTATTAAAATATGACCTCTTTTCATTTAGCGTGACATCAACGTCGTGAATATCCCCTGAACTGGTAGTTGACGACTTGCCACAAAAGGGAGCAGGACTGCTTTTCGGTTTTTTTACGTCGACTTTATTCGGAGTTTTCTCGCCACTCCTCTTGAAAAATGTCATAATCATCAAGTTTACTGGAGTTATTATCAGGGCGCTTTCAATTCCCACCATTATTTGTCTCCAGCTGAATTTTAACGGACCAATTTGTAAGGTAGGATCTGGCTCTTTGTCCGTCCGGTAGAATAGGGCATTTGCTAACATCGCAGAAAACAATATACAAAGGCAGCATGTTGCCCTTTGGACACGTGAGAATTGACTCCTCGGTGGCTTAGTAACAACCGAAAGCCAAACGTGTCCATCGGAAAAACCTCTGGAGCCTTGCGATCTCAAAGAATAACTAAACTTCTGCATCTCCTGCGAACCTACAGGGGTTAGAATTCTGTTTATTTTACCGTCCCCTTTCTCAACCGCAAACCAATCGTTGCAAAAAAATGTCAATTTTCTACCCGTCTGGAGATCCATGACAATCGCATGGCTAAGAAACCATGAAGGATCTTTTCCAGAATTATCGTGCCATATGTGAATGTATTCAATTTCACCCAGTGACATCGGCAGGTGAATCCTGAATGTATCCTCGTTTCCACGCGCCAGCAACGTCCTTGAGTCTATCGTGTTCTTGTGCAACATTAGAGGTTCACTTTGCGCCTCGTTTCCATGAATGGTGATAACGATACGAGCATCAGTCCCAGAATTCTTCCATACTCCCGTGGCCAATGTCAATTGGTAATTAAATTCATTTGCGTCGTGAGAAGAAGGTAGATGGAAAACAGGACCACTCTGAGAATAAAAAAAATGCGGTGACCTGCTTAGATCAGTTTGATTTACCAATATATTCAACTCATATCATTACCGTGTAGCAGAAAGTGACGCAGCTTTGCAGGATTTGCATTTGAAGGTTATAAAATCTTCCTTCGATAGGGAAGTAAAAAAGTAAACAAGAAACAATGAAGCAGTAAAGGAACACGATTTGTTCAGGATAAAGGGACGAAACCAAATTGCAAATGAGATGGGTCTTTAATGGGGCGAAAATTCCGTAGGGACTGTCAAATCTGTTACAAAATAATGAAGCTGCAATGTTGCATCGCCTAGTTGTTTCAATTTTTCTACTTTTTGACCTTGTGCTGATTTTTTTTTTGGAACTAACTTCCCATACTGCTTAGCATCTGTCTGTGATAGACCTCCCCTAAGATCATGCTTAAAAGTATTTGTAGAAAAGCATTACTGTTATCATCATTTCTGATGCGACCACGTGTGCATCGAACCTTCGAGACCATGTTCTTCTCCAATTTTGGGTAATAATGATAATAAATTGACTGATTTTTTCCCACAAAATGAAAACTCCTTCTTTGTTCATATTTACATCAATGTATTAGTCATTCTTACTTCCACTTGATTGGTGGTTGCTACGCTTTTAATTTTATTACTTTTCTTAATTTGACAGCTGAATGTATTTCATTCCTTTAAAGTCTGTCCTTAATTTAATAGAAAATATAAGTTCTACCTTTTCCATACCTTGGCCCTATCTTTTCTATCATATTTCCTTGCAAATACTACCACTAAAAAGTACAATAGCAGTACTGCAATTATTGTGACAAGGACGGCAACATTTCCAGTCTCATGGAGGCGCGTGAGTTCATAGAAGACTACATCAAAATCTAGCTTGTTCGGCATCATTAGGACACCTCCACCAAATGACGTCAGATGATTACACAAACAATGTAAGGATGACACCTCTGACCCTGGGCCTACCTGCAAAAGATCAAACGGTCAAAGGATAAGAGGGTGAAATTATTTTCATATCGAAAAGATAGGAATAACTCGAACTCCTTAAAACCGAAATCCCGTCGTAATATAGTAATGTGAGGCAAGGAACAGTTGAAAAAAGATAATTTTTTGCACTAGTTTTTTCAGAGATTGCATTTTTGAAGAGGATTTAATATCAGCATTTTGTTTTTCAGTGATTACAAACTTAAACTTTGCTTAGGCAAATCAGTCACTATGGTAAATAAACTGTGACGTCACATGGAACACAGGACGATCTACACTAACCTTCCTTTCAGAAATTACTTTTACTGTGGAATTTCAAGATGGCATATTTTTTATACCCACAAATTGTCTTTTCCCATCATTTTAACCCACCCTATCAAATATGTCATAAGTATCTTTCAACATCTCTCCTCCTCCCATTCAATTTTTGAGACAACTCATGTTTGGTCAGTTAAGAGGTGCAAAAAAGAGAGGGTGATGCTTGTCTATGTAATTGGGTTTAAGCAATATTAGACAAACCTACTTTGCAACCTCTTGATAACCAACGTTCTTCTTTACTGTCCCAAAACAGACAGTTTTCTTTCAGCAGACTCAATGAATAATTCACGTCTGTCTTTGGGTCGTAAACTGGCTTTACAGTGATGTTCTCAGGTCTTGGTGCTTCCTTAACCTCCACACATGATCTCTTTTGGCGGCCCCCTCCGGAACATGACCGTTTCTTACGTCGACTCTGAAGTTCTCCTTCATCATTTTCGTACAGTATGCCAATATAGTATTTTCCTGGTTTGTTCACCTTGTCAGGTAACAATAGGACGTCGTACGCATCATTTCTGCAATGGCTGTAAGAATCTTGGGAGGACTTCAAGCACGAAGGATGCGGAATTTGCCTCGATACATCATGCTCTGTGACAGTTGGTCGCTGGCCATATCGCACGAATACTTTAAAGATGACTTTGCCTTCACTTGGTTTTATCTGAAAGAATAGTGATTTGATGAGCAACCATTTTATCCTCAGGCAGTTTTCAATTGAGCATCAAAGGTGTCCCAGGGTTGCACTGCTTTTAATCACTTCATTATGGACTGGTGTAAAATAATGATACCGCCCCTTTAACTGGTCACTTGCAAAACTAGAGCTAGTCCCCTTATCTTGGTCACCCGCTTTTTTCTGCGCCTCTGGCCGTTGGCTTAACATTAAGTCTCTTTTTAGTCCTTTTTGCTATTCTCTTTTCTTCGGATTTTCGCTATGATCACTATGGTTCGGGTTCATGAAACTTATCGAATAAGTTTTACAGCGGGTAAATCCAAATTTGCATCCCTTATTCTTACAGTATCTTAAAAAGAAAACATTTAAGCCTCCTTAAGCATTCATTTAAACAACACCTATCCAATTTTCGCCTCCACTTGCTGCCCTCTGAAAGATATTGCTCATAAGCTGAACACATTCTCCCTTTAAAGGAAGGTGTCCTCGTATTCTCTCCTCCATAATCAGTTTCTTGTTAATTTTAAGTCATAATACTTACTCTAAATCTTACAGCGCCACCGTCCGCATGCTGCAAGCTCACTACATGGTACTGCATCTTTCCTTCACTACTGGGTTTAGTAAAATACAAGCCACTTCCTTCGGGCTGAAAATTGCCCTCACGTGGAATCTTCATCTCGATATATTCGTCACTATCTTTCACTGATAAAGTCTGACCCTCGTGGTTTTTGATGGTCAAGCTGAGGACGTTAGAATCAACACGGGATGCACTGTCGTCCCACGTAAAAGGATTGAATGTACTCAGAGTCATCTGATAGAAAAATAAGAAAACCAACTTTGTGTTTTATAGTAGAATTTTGCGTCGATGCCGTCACAGAAGTGATGCATAGAACCCTTGATACATATATTGTAAAAGCAACGGCCAAAAAGTAGCCAGTCAGTTAAAGTTTCGCAAAGAAATCCTTTAAGAACTGGGTAAGAGAAATGCATGTTTTGGAAAGACTGATGAAAGTTTTTGTGTGATAGTTTCTTTAATAAGAGGGGAGAGGTATCCGAAATATGTCTGACGAATCATTTGTTTTTCCTACGAAACTAAGAAGTAAACCATACATAACTACAAATTTAAAATCATTCAAATCTCCTGGGAAAGCTCACTTTGCTTACCACACTGTCTATGTACTCAGCATCTCTCGCTCTCTCGTCGGTTATGGCGTTAATGGAGAATTTGAACTCTCCTGCATAAGGATCGTCTGTAAAATTTGTCGCTGTTCCCAGTGATCTAGGACTAAGTCTGTTGAGCACCATGCTCAAGGACTGTGTTTGCACGCGGTTGGGTTCCTGGTCCACTAACATTTTTGATAGGAGAGCAACGCTTACATCATCGATAAGCTTCGCTGTGTCTTTCGAGACATTTTCGCTCTGTTAAAAACGAAAAAAAAAAAACACGGAACTGAGGGAGTATATATTTGTATTTGATTTTAGTGTCGGACCTCGCGTTGAAGAGACACATGCACCGCCAGAAAGAGAAAAATGGAGAGTGAAAGAGGAGATGAAAACGAAGGGTTAAATGAAAGAAGAAATGAACTGATGAATGAATAAGTGGATGGATAAATGGATGGAAACTGTCTAAATGAATGAACAAACTGATGAAAACACCAAGAAGAACGCGCAAAGAAATAGGGAAAGAGCCAACGAATTAATGAGGGCTTGGACACATTCAGAAAAGAATACTCAGAAAACAATGAAGCAAGGTATTCACCTTGGACCGTATTTCCGATGTCTCCGCTGTTCTTTCGATCACACTTGCCTTCTGAGAAGCAGAGTTGAGAATGTTACCCAGACTCAGTACCAGGTTCTCCCCGCCTTGTTCAACTAGGACAGACTCTGAACCGTAATCTTCTTTGGTCTTGCTTCGTAACAATGACGTCATAGATCTTAAAGTTTGAAGAGCAAGATCCTAAAAGATAGATGGAAGATTGTTTTCAAGTCTCGCAGTCAATGAACGTCAAATGTTAGAAGAATATTCGGCTACCCCTTTTCTTTGAGGTAATCATGTAATTGAGACAATGAGACCTCTCGATGAAGAGAGTTCAGCATTTATCGGTGGAGCATCGCTCCGAATTCGATGTGTAAGCGCTGTACATACCTGTGTATCAAATGTCACCTCACTCGGTTCCAGTGTGGCTCGTGCGATCACAGACGTCACTTGAGTCAAGGATTGTAAATTATTCACTTGAATATTTGACACACTTCGCACAATGGAGTCTTTGATCTGAAATACCAATAAACCTATTAGCCTAACGTTGAATAACACCCTTAGTAAGGATCATTTAACCCCTTTCCCTCCTCCCCCGTGCCACTTCAGCACCTCTTAAAGAGAAAAATTGGTAACAAAATATGGTGTTGTAGGCAAAACGAGGTCAAGACATTTTTCTTTCCTTCTTTGGTTGAAAAAAAGAAAAGGAAAAAAAGGGAGAGGAGAAAAATGTTTTTTTAACATGCAGTTGTAAAATTTGATTGAATTATATATATTGCTATATTTTTTGTAGTAATTCCAAATTTTTTAATTCAATCTATTCTGAGCGAGAAGTTGACTTTAGATGACTTGCAGTCGAGCTTGTGAAACGTCAGGTAGTACAACCCATGGCTGTCTTTCTAAGGGTCACCCTGACCTAGACGTTACGAATGCATAGTCACAGATAGCTTGAGAGGATGATAAGTACAAATACCTCTATCTTGTCTTCGGTGGACGTAGAATTTGATTCCTCGACTGTTCCTAACACAGCATTTGCTAGTTGTGTAGCACCTACAACATTCCCTGACTTGACCAAAATGTTAAACTGGCTATTGTTTCCAACTGCAAGTCCACTGAGACTGTCATTAGCAGGCGGCGGCTCGACCTAAAAACACGGAAAGGTAACATAGGTTTCCCATAAACTAACAACTAACTTTCCCCTTGATCAAGTATCACACTGGGGCGTAGTTACGGGCGAGGGGTCCTGAAATGCCCATGACCCCGGCCCCCCTTCCTCCTTGGTCAAGCTTTTTTAAAGGCAAACAACCTACAATATTCAGTTTGCAAAAACTGTTGAGTACCCTCTTTTTGACACAGTGTGGCCCCCCTTTCACGTCATTGTGACATGACACGCTAGAGCAGCGTTAAGTGACTCGCAAGGGGTTTTGCTGATTGGCAAAAAGAAATTAACAGACAAACAGGCAAGCAATAAAAACAAAAAATTAACAAAAAATCAACCAAAATCACAGAATGTTTGCAAATTGCAAAACTTGCAAATTGCACCCAGTTTGGAAATTACATAGTTTACTTGTTTATATTTCAGGGAAATATCCTAATTATGTTCTATTACCTGCCCTTCCTTAAGAGTTCGAGTTGCTAGTAATTCGAATTTTCAAAAGTTTTCAAGTTTTTCCGTGGAAAATTTACATCTTACTCTGATCATCGTATCCTTTGAACTCAAATAATGGTAAACATTTTTCTATACTATTTGGAATTTCAGACAGAGCTAGCAAGTATTAAAACAATTACCTTTAGGTGGAGAACATAGTTGCTGGAAGCCGACAGACTGTCTGTTATCAAAATTTCAAAATCAATGATAAATCCACCATTTCTCTTTCCTGAGGGAAGCACTGTTGACACGTGATCAGTAGACCCGTATTGCACGACGGTATACAAGCCATGGTCCGTTTTGTAATGAAACTGATACGTCAGAGGTTGATGTGGATCCTTAAAAATATAAGAAATGTATAATCTTTGTAGAATGTTTGAAACCGGCGGTCAATGATGATATGAACTAATCGACTGATTACTTTTATTAATTCATATCTGAACTTAGAATAAAAAGCCTGAAAGTGTGAAGGAGGAAACTGCAGGAAGAAAAACGTACCAACACTGAAAGATCAGATTTGGTTAGAAACTCCTGGCTTTCATGTGAAGTCGCATGTCAAAGGATTGCTAAATAGGTTGGCAAGGTTTGCTCTTTGTGTTTTTGGTCGTCGTACAAGAGAATTCTGTCAGGAACAAGCAATTTTATTTGTTACCTGCCTGTCAGGAACAGGAAATTTTATTTCTCACCTGCCAACCAGTGCATAAAATTGAAAATGCCGTCTTCAATGCCTGTCCACTCTTCGGAGTCACAGTGCAATTTCCGGGAATTGGCGGAGCGTTCACTCTGAACTGATAAGCTGCATTTCCAGCGGGTCCGTGCTCTTGCGAGACCCAGACTTTCAATCGATAAATCCACTCACTGTTAATGAGTGGAGGCAGTTGATTTGCTTTGATGATAATACCAGGAAGATCCATATCCGTCTCTGTCATGTTACGGGTCAGGATATTTCCTGGGAGCTCATGTCCAATGGAATTCACAATGACAAGCTGCCAGCTGTAGGTTGCTGTCTGACACGCTAATCCCTCGCACGTAGTTACAATGCTGATTCTTGTAGAGGCGCTTGCCATCTTCTCACAGTTAATTAGGCATCTATGATGTAATAGAGATGAAGTTGCGAAAGGAAGTGGTATCGCAGTTGTTGTTGTTTTTATTGTTGCTTATCTAAATCTATACAACACACGATACTTACGCCATTCTCAACCAATAATTTGCACAAACTCATTGCACGCATGCATTGCTAGTATACGTTGTACGCTAACTTTTGAGCAGTCAGGCTTTTAAAATATTTCTGAAGGTAACCGCTTAGAGTAAATTAAAATGACAGTTCAGAGGAAGTAGCCATGAAAATTCATGTTGGGAAGAGGCAATTTGTTCACTAAAAATGCAAATGGTTTATTTATATAAATTCCTGTGAAATCGATTTACTAACAGTTATTCTCAGAATTACGGTTCAAAAATTTGACAATAAGTTAGATGAATGATTTTTCATCATCAAACGACACCAATTCATTAAAAAATTCGTTTCGACTGGCCAAAATATTTCAAAATAGAATTAAGGTATTAATTCTTATAGGTACTTACCGGATAGTCACTTGTGGTGGATTACCGCTGACAATCTTAATTTCTTGAATGAAGTCGTCTATTCTGTTATCCTTTGTAACGATGAGCTTGACGTCATACATCTCACCAACAGTCATCTGACTCGTGTCCAATTTCACTATTGAACCATTGGAGCTTAGTTTTCCAACACCGGTTCCAAAACATCCACCACTACCAGGACCCAGAGAGTTGTTAATCACTGGTAGCGAGTGCAACGAACCATTGGGAAAGTGCTCTTGACGTTTCTTGCACAGCCACGTGAAATGCATCGATGCATGGTTACCAGGCTCTACGTCTGGATCTCTAGAGGCTGATCCGTCCAATGAAATGGGATTTCCCTTTCCTCTTGTGACTTTGTTCCCTCCTGCAATGTCGGCTATAAGTTGAGACTTACTAATTGTAAAAAATCCTAAAGCACTGCTAATCACAGAAGGTTGGTTTGAGTAAGTTGCTCTAACATCCACGTAGTACTGCCCATAATCAAGCATCCGTTTCTGCAAGGTCCACTCTGTAATTCTTGAATCCAAGAGAACTGTCTCCTGTATCTGGACCTTTCCTGAAGCTCTTACCTCAAATTTAAATAGATACCACGCAAATTGTAGTGCTTGTGAAGAGTTACACTCCGCCTTTCCGACATAAGCCTGGATAATAAAATCTTTGGAACGCGAGATGGAAACAGCAGATTCTCTCGCTCTTCTCTCTGGTAAATTAGTTATTTTGACTTCTGGAGGACTGCAAGATTTATCTGTGAAATAATAAGGTATGCTAAAGAGTTTTTAAATATTTAATGTGTGGTTAAAAGGTTACGAGCAGTTTATATTGTAACAGCAACAGACACTTCACAACAACATCTCTGGGTGAAAGGGGGTGCTCCTTTACATAATATATGTGAAATCAGCTGCCCAATAAGGTCTAATCCTTGCGTCGTCTTTTGACTGAAAACGGGTTCAGTGCACAGATTTTGGCCATAATGGCTACTACTACAAATCATGTTTGGTTCTCAAATGAACGAGAAGAGATCGTTGAATTAACGGTTAAACTTCGCCAAATTTGACTTAGCATTGGTCTCCAACATAGAAGGGGTTTCAGAGGCCGGCTCTGAACGCAGATATGGAAAACAGCATGCTTTGGTTGAAAACAAGATCCTGATTGAGAAGTCCGGGGATCGAATTTCTTCTAGAGATTCTTCAGAATCCCTGCACAAAGGAACCACTCAAGCACGTCAGTAACGCATAATTGTATTAGCATTGACCTAGACTAACACTGATATCCTCGTTGACACATCACAGCATTAAAGGAATTAGTGACGTACCTTCCACACCCCAGTAAAGCGCAGTCAAAGTTATCTTCCCCATTTTACCGGTCTTGTTTAACTTGTTTAATTCCTCTTGAACCTTTGGTGTGTCGTGTTCATTTTCAAGGTTTAAAACAGCGGTTATTTCTACGCTTCCGGGTCTGTTAGATCAAGAAAACAGAATGGAATACACAAACAGATAGAAATTGACCGATCAAAACTGACGTTTCTTGAAGCTTTCGACTAACAACGATATGGCAAATTGATCAATCAGTTTCTTCGAGCCAGTTCCAAGGCATTCAACCGTGATGATGACTTGTGCTTAAATTTTCGAAACATAAATGAATGCCATCCATCATCAACAGTCTTTTTAAAATTTTTGACCATGAAAGTGACTAAATATTGACTTCTCCTTACAACATAACCCTGAATCAAATAGTAAGGTTACGAGATTAAGGGAAAGATTACCAAATGAAGATGCTCTCAGTTGTTTTTTAAACAAATTCTCCGTGTCAGCGTCTTATGCAATTTATTCAGAGAACAGTGGAAAATGTGCCTACTGATATTAGGGCTTTGAGACTACAAATACTTTTAACGAAAAAAGTGAACACCTAACATAATAATTATGTCACATATTCGAAACACTCCACTCTAAAAAACTTCTGGTCTCAATGTAAATACATGCAAGAAAGACAGTTGCTCTTACTTCATAGAGAGAATCTTGACGGTTGTGACACCATGTGACCCAAGACGTGATAAAATCTGTAAATACATCACAGTAGAAATGAACATAAGTAAAATCGTGATTTTGTAGTGCGCACACCGCGTACTTTTTCAGGGCGTTTTCCATTTATCATAAGAACTGACACAACATGTTCTGATAGCCCAAGGGACTGCACAAAAATGCGTGCGCATATTTCAGACGATACGACAGGAAAACAATCGAAACCACGCTACTTCCGTTACCGAAGCAGGGAGGTTTCGATTGCTTCTACGGTGTAAAATCAGGGGGATTAGTGTTTCGATTCTTATATATATATGCAAGAGCCACTTCCTGTTCAAGATCAGCTAGATCTGATAAATGAAGTAATTCAAGTGGCAATAAATTAAAATATTTTTTCGATATGAAGTTTAATAACGCAAGAATGCAATCTTCCTGATATTGCTATTTCTTTACGTTAGAGCGACTTTTCAGTCATTTTGATCTTCCGTTGAGCAATCCGCTTGGATTTTTTACCTAAGTCAAAGTGTATTGAATTACTCAAAATAAAACAAAATGCAGAATAAATTGCCCACCCAAAACTAGGGCTGATCCATGTATCCCGGTCACACGCTTTACGCATGCTCTTCTTCAAATGTCGGTTAAGAATGAGCTAACTTGGTGAGCTTTGTAGAGCAGTCTGACTGAGATTGTCTTCTACTCTTCTAGAAACCAATCTTGCCTTACCTCACTTGTTACGTTTGCCTCTAAACGTTTATAGATTGCAGAGGAGTCGTTAAAAAGGTCGAAGTCAAAATTGAAGCTTTTCAGCAAAAAGACAAATCGCAAAGTTGTCACTAAAGGAAAATAGATATTTAAGCATTAATGCATTTTTGCTCATTTAGTAAATCATTAACCGAAATATTACTTCTAAAGGAACCAGAAAGCTTGGAGAAGGGAAAAAAGTCGTGAGGAAGCTAGGTGGATCACTCCTGACAGAAGTTAGGTTTCGTGGTATCGGAGGCATGAATTCGAAGTAATTGAGAGTTTTTCTTCCCTGGGCGAGCGCTCCCCCCTTCCCTGCATTAACTAGGTTGCTTTAAAGTCTGTTGGAACAACAGCTTAGTAGTCGATATGTTTTTCTTCCTCTCTGTTCTAGCAACTTCTTACCTATTCGTAACAGTGGCAATGTAATTGCTGTTGATTGTTGAGTTGAATAAAATTGACTTGAAGTTGCTGTTGTTTGGACAGTGAAGCTGGTTGAATTTCTCTCCTGTAAAGATGAATGAACGCTAAGTTTTGTCGTTTTAAATTTGTGCTCGGAAGAATTAATTTCAGGCAGAAAAGTAGAAGGTTTCGGAGTAGACTCGTCGTCAAGTGTGGACGTCGGTGTAAGCTTTTGCTGAAGGGTGGAGTTTACAACAAGTACAGGTGTTGCAAAAAGCCTAGAAGAGTTCTTGTTTGGCGGTCTTAGTATCGTCGAGTTATCTTGGTGTATAATTGATGAATTTTGCTCCACAGTGTGTTTATGAGCCAATGTTGTTCGCAATGAATTTGATTGTACAGAAGCTGATACCGTCATCAACTGTTCTGCAGAATATTTTTGAGAGTCAAGATTTGTTGGTTGCAATGCTGTTGTAAATTTTTGTTCTACGGTTAAATTTGCCAGAGGAAGGGCTGATGGCGGTACTTCAGTGAGAATGGAACTGTTTTGAGGAATAAAAATTGTCAGTTGCACAAAGGAGTTCGCTTGAGATTCGGCGGATGTTGGCTTCAGGCTAAAAGGACTGTCTTGAGAAAGCAATTTCAGAGCTGATTTTGTTTGATTAACAGGTGATGATGGTTGTTCAGCAGAATTGCCTTGGAGAATCAACGACGAAAGTTTAATCGAAAGATTCTGCTGAGGCGCAGAAGTTGAAATCTGCTCAGTATTGCCAGTGTAAGGTATTAGAGTTGCATTTTGTACCTTTGAGCCAACGTCAAATAAATCAGTTGTTGGTTTTCCACTATATATTAGCGATGTAGGTTGCTGCTTATAAGTTATATTTCCTTGGTGCGTAATGGATAGTAGCTGCTCAGTGTAGTTATCTTTTGTAATCAAAGATGCTAACTTTATAGTAGAATACGGCCTAGTTGAAGTTGTTGCTAACTGTTCAGCAGAATCATTTTGAAACATTGAAGGCAGTGATAGTAGTTTTGGAGTTGAGTTTACGTAAGGTTCATATGTTTTTGTCTGTTCCAAAATGCTGTTTTGAGGTTTCCTTGAAGAAAGTTGGGCAAAGGAAGTAGTGTGAGATGAAACAGTTGTTGGCTGTCCATTGGAACCATTTTGAGCCAGAAATGTGAAATTTGGTTTTTGTATAGGTAAAGTTAGCTTTTCCACTGATAATAATGATCGAAGAGAAGAACTGTTTGAAGAAACCATAGTCTGAACCTTGGCAGGGGCACCTTCGAAGGATTTAACAGTCACTGATTGCTCATGGTATTTACTCTGAGCGAGAGAAGTGTAATTGTGTAGTTCCTGTGCTGAAGTCACCCGATCAACCACCGATGATGGCTGAGTAGATTGTTGAATTGAATAAAATTGACTCGAAGTTGCTGTTGTTTGGACAGTGAAGCTGGTTGAATTTCTCTCCTGTAAAGATGAATGAACGCTAAGTTTTGTCGTTTTAAATTTTTGTTCGGAAGAACTGATTTCAGGCAGTAAAGTAGAAGGTTTCGGAGTAGACTCGTCGTCAAGTGTGGACGTCGGTGTAAGCTTTTGCTGAAGGGTGGAGTTTACAACAAGTACAGGTGTCGCAAAAAGCCTAGAAGAGTTCTTGTTTGGCGGTCTTAGTATCGTCGAGTTATCTTGGTGTATAATTGATGAATTTTGCTCCACAGTGTGTTTATGAGCCAATGTTGTTCGCAATGAATTTGATTGTACAGAGTCTGATACCGTCATCAACTGTTCTCCAGAATATTTTTGGGAAACAAGATTTGTTGGTTGCAATGCTGTTGTAAATTTTTGTTCTACGGTTAAATTTGCCAGAGGAAGGGCTGATGGCGGTATTTCAGTGAGAATGGAACTGTTTTGAGGAATAAAAATTGTCAGTTGCACAAAGGAGTTCGCTTGAGATTCGGCGGATGTTGGCTTCAGGCTAAAAGGACTGTCTTGAGAAAGCAATTTCAGAGCTGATTTTGTTTGATTAACAGGTGATGATGGTTGTTCAGCGGAATTGCCTTGGAGAATCAACGACGAAAGTTTAATCGAAAGATTCTGCTGAGTTGCAGAAGTTGAAATCTGCTCAGTATTGCCACTGTAAGGTATTAGAGTTGCATTTTGTACCTTTGAGCCAACGTCAAATAAATCAGTTGTTGGTTTTTCACTATATATCAGCGATGTAGGTTGCTGTTTATAAGTTATATTTCCCTGGTGCGTAATGGATAGTAGCTGCTCAGTGTAATTATCTTTTTTAATCAAAGATGCCAACTTTATAGTAGGATACGGCCAAGTTGAAGTTGTTGCTAACTGTCCAGCAGAATCACTTTGAAACATTGAAGGCAGTGATAGTAGTTTTGGAGTTGAGTTTACGTAAGGTTCGTATGTTTTTGTCTGTTCCAAAATGCTGTTTTGAGGTTTCCTTGAAGAAAGTTGGGCAAAGGAAGTAGTGTGAGATGAAACAGTTGTTGGCTGTCCATTGGAACCATTTTGAGCCAGAAATGTGAAATTTGGTTTTTGTATAGGTAAAGTTAGCTTTTCCACTGATAATAATGATTGAAGAGAAGAACTGTTTGAAGAAACCATAGTCTGAACCTTGGCAGGGGCACTTTCGTAGGAATTCACTGATTGCTCATGGTATTTACTCTGAGTGAGAGAAGCGTTATTGTGTAGTTCCTGTGCTGAAGTCACCTGATCCACTACCGATGATGGCTGAGCAGTTGAATTGTTTTGAAGTTTCAAAGATGGAATATTTGTAGAGGAACCTTTGATTGGAGTAACGGTTATTGGCTGACTGTACTGAGTACTATTTTGAACCAGAGAAGTGTTATTTTTTTGTACCAGAGTTGAATGTAGTTGCACCACTGGTGATAATGTGCGACTAGGGTAACTGTTTTTAGATATCGAGGACTGAAGCTCAGTGTTATTGTGTAGTTTCTGTGCTGAAGTCACCTGATCTGCTACCGATGATGGCTGAGTAGTTGAATTGTTTTGAAGTGTCAAAGATGGAATATTTGCAGAGGAACTTTTGAGTGGAGTAACGGTTATTGGCTGACTGTACTGAGTACTATTTTGAACCAGAGAAGTGCTATTTTTTTGTACCAGAGTTGAATGTAGTTGCACCACTGGTGATAATATGCGACTAGGGTAACTGTTTTTAGATATCGAGGACTGAAGCTCAGTGTTATTGTGTAGTTTCTCTGCTGAAGTCACCTGATCTGCTACCGATGATGGCTGAGAAGTTGAATTGTTTTGAAGTGTCAAAGATGGAATATTTGCAGAGGAACTTTTGAGTGGAGTAACGGTTATTGGCTGACCGTACTGGGTACTATTTTGAACCAAAGAAGTGTTATTTTTTTGTACCAGAGTTGAATGTAGTTGCACCACTGGTGATAATGTGCGACTAGGGTAACTGTTTTTAGATATCGAGGACTGAAGCTCAGTGTTATTGTGTAGTTTCTGTGCTGAAGTCACCTGATCTGCTACCGATGATGGCTGAGTAGTTGAATTGTTTTGAAGTGTCAAAGATGGAATATTTGCAGAGGAACTTTTGAGTGGAGTAACGGTTATTGGTTGACCGTACTGGGTACTATTTTGAACCAAAGAAGTGCTATTTTTTTGTACCAGAGTTGAATGTAGCTGCACCACTGGTGATAATATGCGACTAGGGTAACTGTTTTGAGATAACGAGGACTGAAGCTCTGACGGGGAACCTCTGAAGGATGTAAGGGTTATCGGTTGTCCAAAGGACGTATTTTGAGCTAGAGAAATGGTGTTTTGATGTCTCAAAGATGCTACTGATTGGTCCAATGATGATATTTTCTGACCAATGGAAGTATTTTGAGGTAGCAAAGACGGGATTTGGTTAAAGAAACCTTGATGAGGTGTACTAGTTGTTGGCCATGGCTGCCCATAGGATGTGGTATTTTGTTGCTCCTGAGTTAAATTTACCTGGTCTACTGATGATAATGGCTCACCAGCAATCAATGACGCATTCTGTGGAGAGGGATTCAGCTGAGACTCAACTGTCTTTGACTGTTCTGTAGAAAAGTTTTGAGGATGTAAAGGTAATGATTGTACTACATTCGTCATTCCATATTGTGGAGTTGAAAGCGTGCTAGGTACAGCCGTTCCTTGCACTCCAGCAGTGCTTGAAGGCGTAGGTATCTGCTCTTCATGGGAGCTATTTTCTGGCGCCGTTGTTGATGTATGCCCAGAAGAACTCGTTTGAGAAATCAAAGATGCACGCTGCTCTTTTGAACTCTTGTGAGACTGTAAACTAGCTTGCTGTTGATTTCCGGTGGAACTGTTTTCAGAAGCAACTTTAAACGTTTCTAGAGATGCAATATGATTGTGTGTAGCCAGAGTTGTGCTACTTGTATCGAGCACAAGTGTTGCTGGTTGATATCGCCATTGCTGGTCTACCTGTGAAGCTACATCTGGAGATCGAGCCGTAAATGATTCCTTAGAAGATGCGTCCAATGCCTTTGATACAGTTGAGTCGGATTGCAGAGCTGTAAAAACTTGATGTGCAGTTGTTGTTGGATGCTCAGTGTAAGTTACTTGACGTTCTAAACTTGTCGTTGCTTGCACAATCAGCCATGTTGAAATCAGTTGAAGTCTTGTAAACAAGAGCATCGTCATCAGAACGATGAGAACTTAAAGTATGTAAATTAGGCACGCTAGGACCGAAAAAAAATAAGTTGCTAGACATTAGTAGTGACCATTCTGCAACGAAAAAAAAAGCACTCAGAAGTTAGATTTCTAAGGAGGTTTCGGCTTTCAGTACAAAACCGTGCGTGACTGAAATATAAAAGCGCTTGATAAAGAATATGTGTGAATTAAATTGACAACGTAAAACTTAATGAAGGGATCGACAAGGAACAAATGTGCGAAATTAAAAGAAAACAGTATCGTTTCGGCAACAGCTCGGAGTTATTGTTTTCTTTTCGTGGACAAATCGTTGGCAATAATTCTAAAGTTGTGTATACATTTTTTTTGGCCAGCTGTCCTTAGCGCAATATTTGCAATGGTTCTTAAGGATGTCTCTGGCTGTCAAGCAACCTAACCGCTCGGGGCCACACAGAACTTTTATTAAGTCTTGTAAGGTAACTGCTAGCAACCTACAGCGCGTTACCGCATTCGAAATCCATTGTCGTCATTTCCTGACTTGACTAAACACATACCCCGGAAATATTTTCAACTTATTACCCAAAAATGTTCTCAAAAGGCGTAAGAATGTCAAGATAGATTAAGATTTCACCATGTTTCGTTGGGTAAACGATTGTGGAAAATATATGTGCACCTTTCGATTCCGAACCCAGGGCAAGCCGTCTTCTGAACATGGATGTGAAAGGCTTCTCGCAATTAAATTATGTTTTTACGGGATACGTCCTACGGTTTTTGTTTAGTCTTCGGCAATGTTAATTAATCTTTTCTTCTTACCGAAGTAATGACCAACAAAACAAAAGGAACCTGAAATTCAATCAATGCTTACAGCTTTGACCACTCCAAGAAGTTCAAAGAACTATTTTGAACTGTTAGTCACCTTTAATATCTTATTTGAACTGTGAATCATAAAAGCTGTTCGAGTTGCTGTACCACTAACTAAATACATGCGTAGTTATATTTAAAGTTGAGATAAGGCATGGTTGTAGGCAGGACACGGCCAAATTATCCATTCTCAAAGGGCAATCGACTGGAAATTTTAATCAATTATTCAAAATTAACTGTTTGTGAACCTGGATTAGCCATGAATATTTTAAACGAAATATAGCATGACCGTCCTAAAACATGGTCATCCCGATTTATATCCCATGGTCATCCCGATTTATTTTCCTCTTGATATGCGTTTTTCTACTAAAAGAAAGATATACACTGTTCTTGAGTGGTTTTTGAAGTGGCCGTTAATGATCGAGAATTAGAATAAATTTCGTTCCGTCGCGAAGCAGTGTAATTTCTCGTAACTTTCTTCAAGTTGTTCGCTTTTTCTTTAGGCAGTTCCACTTGCGTATGACCGAAGCCATCCCAGATAAACAGTTGAAACATAAAGAGCTCATCATGAGTAAAAAGAAAACACGACGAATTAATGCTTTAAACTGGCTAGAACATTCTCGATAATTTAATCAACGCAAAATTTCTCACTACAGTAACAGCAGAACACACCCGGAACATTCTATCTTTGCAAGAAAAGAGACATATTTCGCACGGTGCCGTTTCGTTCTATCTTGCCAGAATAATATGGGCGAAATTTTCACAATTCTTGTAAGATAGATTGCATTTTTTTGTACGGCATGTGTCATATCAACTTCGATATCCTAACGACCCTTACGCTAACGGCAAAAATGGAACATATTTCCGTCAGATACCAGCCTTTGTAACTTACCTTTGCTGACGTTTCGAGCGTTGGCCCCTCGTCAGAGCAATGAAGAAGGGCTAACGCTTGAAACGTCATCTTTCAAACTTCCTTTGGTGGCCAATTTACTAAATTACCCTATAATATTCTCCCACCGACGCAGCACCACAGTTTCTTTAGAAACTTACCCCCTTTATGAAAGCATTTACTCGGAATAATAATATTTTCCAACCGGAGTAAAACATAAGTTACCCGAGGCAAAATTTATTTTCGCCGTTATTTTTGACGTCAAAACGACCTGCTTGAACCTTCTCTACTAAAGTAAAATCTTGACTTCACAGAAGTTGTGTTTTATGAAAATCAAAAATTCTACCTAACCCAGCCCCATTGTAGATGAATCTAGAAGAATCATGATTATAAGTTATTTGCTCAATACCTTGAACATTGAGTGATCTTTCGCGACTTTTGAGCACACTTTGTTATCCATTAAAATCTGTAATTATGCATGATGGCCGAGTTTGCGCCTGGTCGAGTTCGTAAACAAAACACCTATTTTGGTCATCAAGAAAAGATGTTCCTGTTAGATCTTTATCGCATGGAATGATGACAATTGATGTCTGAAGCCCTCAGGCAACCAGCAAATACTCTGTAAGAAAGTGTTCAGTAGAGAGTCATCACTAACTACATTTAGAATAAAAAATAGTGCCGCTTTTGCTAACAGCCGACCAGGGGAGTAAAATTTACTCTAATGCTGTATAAACTTAAATATAATTATTGGAAAGGGAACGGTTCTTGAGATCGCCCATGTCTAATCTTTTTGCACGTTAAAGAATTCATTTAAAAACAAGATATTTTTTAATTTAAAAATGTGGCCGAATGGATGTCGCTGACTCGAAGCATATGAACGTGAACTACATCTCCGTGACGCCAGTAAACGTTACCACTTACACAGTAGTCTATTTATTCGATGACGCACCGCAGCCATCATTTAAGGGTATCGCTTGAAGTTTAATAAGTGTCACTTTTCAGAAAATGATAACAAGGAAAAGTCAACAGTAAACAGAAAGAACTTTCAAAATGCTTTACACCGTCTGTTTTAGTGGGAGAAATTGGCTTACTCTCTGCAAATATTCCGAAATTTTACCTTCTCCTCTCTGATTCGAGTAAAAAAACTGCGTTGTTATTGAGAGGAAAACATTCTTATCGATATTAACCTATCCCGGCATCCCCCGCGCCTATAGGTGGAATTCCACCCATCATTTCCGGTTATCTCGTCGAATATTGCGTTACTCCCGATTCCTTCCAAATTTGGTGTGTATGACGTTAAAAGGTTAAACAAATCATGTAGCGAGTTTGGAGGGCGACAGTTAAATGTGTGCTACACAACGTTCATTTGAGTGCTAAAATTTCACCGTCGAAGATGGCCTCATCGTCGAAGTGTGCACGGGTGAGCTTTATCTCCGCAGAAATTGCTTTAGAAAAAATATTTGACGATGAAGACTCCGCTGATGGGATGGACATTGGAGAAGAAAGTGATTTAGACCGGCAGATCGAGGTGAGAAGTCAATCGGCCATCGCGAAATGGTCGCCATCGCACATGTTGTCTTGAAATGCGAAGTTGTTCGCCTCAGATAGCCCTTTTGTGATTGATTTCTCGCGTACTTCTTGAAATTTGATTACAAATTGATTTTTGCGACTCTGAAAATCAATAATTTACGCTGAGAGTGTGTTTTTAGCGATGAGATGTGATGCGATTCAAACTATTTGCACAAGCGAAATATTAGACGCGTGATTCGATCAGCTGCTAGTTGTTGCTATGGAGAAATGCATTTTTCGAACGCGTCGGATGCTTGGGATTCGTTGGCGATTTGGCGATTTAGTTCAGTATCGCTTGTTCACTCGGTTAATTTTGAGTATTTTACGGAATATAGGCAAGTGTACATTTTATATTTTTAGCGAGGGAGAAGTTGAAGATGACGAGCGGCCTGAGGAGGCTTGCGCTTCGACTTAGGAACCCATGGCTCCTGGTGAGTGAAATATTTCCAACCTGCGAAATTTAACAACAAGTATAATTTCCGAATGCGTATACCATAGATTAACTTGAATTTGTTTGGGATATTATTCTATAAATGTTGAGGATAGTTGATTTATTCATTGAAAATTATATTTTTGTTTGAATGTGTTGTTGGTGGCCCCTCTGCTCCTTCTGCTGCTACCAGATTCTAACCACAAATAGTGTACTACGTAATTAAGTCCATGAAGTGGTGGAAAACTATGGTTTACCACCTATTTGACATGGGTGTAATCAATTGCTTTATCCTTTTCAAAGAGCATTAGGCTCAATTTCCTGACAATGAAGCTCTAAAAAGGCCCTCTCAGTATTCTTTGTGTGATTTCTGGGAAGAAATTGTTAGGCAACTCTGTGGTTTACCCGATTATGGTAGTCCACCAGAGAATACCATGGTGAAATCACCCCCTTCCACCCCAGAGGAATTTACAACTGTCCATATCCCAGTTTTCTCTGATACAAAGAGAAACCGTGTGGTATGTTATAAAGAGGGTAGGAGAGATTTCAGGGTTCGATCTTATTGCAATGCCCCTCAATGTCAAAAGTATATGCATGTTAGTAAGGGTTGGGATTGTTTTGCAGTGTTTCACTCTAAGAAGTACCACAGGCAAATTTTGCTGATGTTTATTCCAATGTTTTCAGATGTTGTGTTTCTCAAAAATATCAGAAAAAAAAAACTTTTTTTACCTTGTTGCTTTTATCTTTGTGAGTGGGAATAGTTGTGATTTGGTCCTAGTTTTCTCAGGGAAGACTCTCGTTAGTTAGTAGGGATGTTAAAAGGCAAATTCATTCACCCAGTAACACATCAGGCCCAACCATCCTCCTGTTATAAAGTTGAATTTCCCAACAAATTTTTTTTTTCCGCTAATTTTTTTGAATGACATGGGCGCACATAAAAATTCATAAAAAAATTCATTATTTATTCTTTTTCTTTCAGATTTTCAGGAAATGTTGCTGAAAAGGTAATATATATTCTGCTATCAATTAATCTTAAGTAACCTTTACCTGATAAAAATTCATAAAAAATTCATAAAAAATTCATTATTCTTTTTCTTTCAGATTTTCAGGAAATGTTGCTGACATGTTACTAATTAACTTCTGCTATCAATTAATCTTGATTAACCTATACCTATGAGGAAAAGTGACTTTTACCTCAAGTTTTACACTATGTCTTGCTTATTTCGTGTTTTAAATTTTACTTTTTAGGAAAGTGATGAAATT